AATCAGGGACTTAATCATTAAGAAACAAAGATTAAACCAGGATCAAGACTAAACCAGGACTAAATCTAAAAGATTAAACCAAGACTAAATCAAGACTAAACCTAAAAGATAAATAAACTAAACCAGGACTTAAACCAGGACTAAATCTAAACCAGACTCAAATCTAAACCAGACTAAACCAAGATTAAATCAAGGGACTAAATGACTAAACCAGGACTAGATCAAGACAAGATTAAACCAGACTAAATCAAGACTAAATCAAGACTAAAACAAAGACTAAACCAGGACTAAATCAAGACTAAATCAAGGGCTAAAAAAGTCAGGACTAAACACCAAGACTAAACCAAAGACTAAACCAAGACTAAACCTAGGATTAAATCAAGAATAAACCAAGACTAAATCAAGGGCTAAATCAGGAAGAAACAAAGATTAAATCAGACTAAACCAGGGACTAAATCAAGACTAAACCAGGACTAAACTAAACCAAGACTAAAAGACTAACCAAGACTAAATCAGGGCTAAATCTTGACTAAACCAGGACTAAACCATGACTAAACTCGGACTAAGCTGTGGCCGCAACTAGTGGCGATTGAGCTCCATCTGGTGGTATGTAGATCCCTCTCCAAAAGCAACACAGTGACAAAACCAAACCTCTGTAAGATGTTTGCATTTAATCACAAAACATTTTATCAATCAAAATCAAGGAACATAGAAAATAATACTATAACTTTTGGGATGAGAGCGTGTTGACTGTGCTGTTCTTTATAGTTTGAAAAAAGCTGCTTTAAAGCCATGCACGCTCCTGAAATCTGCTTGTAAAATGTTTGTGGTTTTTTGTACTTCTGTTCTGTGAGTTGTGTCCTTTGCCTGTGCAACTTGACCAGTGTTGTAGACTACACACAACTGCAGGTATCTTTTTATTTTGTTGTCAGTTTTTTTTCTCTAGAGGAATTTTGAGAAGCTCGTTTCAAAACACAGCGGGGGGGGCATGGCTTTTGTATTCTTTTCTAAACCTCCTGTCACAATATTTCAACCCCATTACCCCCCAAGTCTCTGTCTCACTCTTTCTCTCTCTGTCTCTTTTCTTTTTTTCTCAAACTTCTTCCCTATCTGCTTTTTCTCTCTCTCCCATCCCTCTCTCCCTCCTCTAACTTTCTCTCCCTCCTCTCTACCTGCCTTTTCCTCTCCCTCTCTTTCTGTCTCTCCCTCATTTCTCTCTCACCCCCCCCCCTTTTTCTCTCACTCCTCTTTCTCTCTCTCCCTACCCTCTCTCTCTTTCTGTCTCGCCCTCTCTCCCTCTTTCTCTCTTCCATCTCTCTCTCTCTTTCTCTCCCTCCTCTCGCTCTTTCTCTCTCCCTCTCTCTCCCCATCTCTCTCTCTCCCTCCTCTCTTGCTCTTTCTCTCTCTCTCTCTCTCCCACATCTCTCTCTCTCTCTCCCTCCTCTATCTCTCTCCCTCTCCTCCCTCTCTTCTCTCTGTTTTGCCTTATACAGTGGTGTACCTGATGTGAATAGCGTCTCTCTGCTCCATGTTGGATTCTCTGAGTCTGAGCCCTGGATCTGAGCTGCTGCCTTTGGCCGAGACACAGGATTCCTCAGCTGCTTCTGCTTAAGTCATAGAGAAAACCAAACTAGAACTAAACCAGGACTTAACCAGGTCTAAACCAGGATTAAACTGGACTCAACTAGGACCAAAGCAGGACTAAAACAGGAATGTTAAATCAGGACTACAGCAAGTTTAAACCACGACTAAACCACGACTAAACCGAGACTAAACCAGATCTAAACTAGTACTAAACCAGGACTACACCAGGGCACAACAGGACTAAACCAGATCTAAACTAGTACTAAACCAGGACTACACCAGGGCACAACAGGACTAAACCAGATCTAAACTAGTACTAAACCAGGACTACACCAGGGCACAACAGGACTAAACCAAGAAGACCACATGACTAAACCAGGGCTCTGTAAGGACTAACCCAGAACTAAATCAGGACTAAACATGGACTCAAATAGTTAAAAAGTCAGTACTAAAAGCTACGGACAACCTAACCAGGACTAAACCAGGACTGAACCAGGACTGAACCGGGACTAAACCAGGACTAAAACAGCATTAAACCAAAAACTAAACTAATAGTAAAGAAGAACCTATGCGCCTATAACACTTTCCATGCATCTACCTTATTATTTTAGTTTGTTAAAAAATACTTTTGCAGATGTCAAGAATAAAGAATAGAACAGAATAAAGAGCTACACGGAACTTTAATGTCAGCTATAAAATGCAAGGGACCAGAGGAGTTTCTTGTTTTGTTTTCTTGGAGCAAAAATAATGCCCAAATAAAGCATAAATACGTGACTATTCCAAACACTGCAGCGCCTCCTATTCTGTGCCATATTTAGATGTGTGTTTACGAGCAACATGAAATACAAAATACATCCCGCCCAGACCCACAGCTGTATTTCCCATTCATATTTACAAGGGCTCAGTTTATGACAAAAACTGTGATTTTAATAGCTCCAAAAACAAAAGACACTTCGCCTGACATGCCCCCAACAAACCCAGAAAGTATAATCCCTGCTGCTGGCTATGAATACTTCTCTTGTGTCCTTCAGCCCCACCTCGCTGTTGTATAAATCTGTGTCTGATTGGTTACAGTTGGGGAAGCTTTAATACACTATTTTTAACAGCACACATCAGTTTACCTGTCGTAGATCCAACAAAGTCAGTTCTTTCTGGTCAGACTGTGCTAAAACAAAGGTCAGATTTAAGTCTAACAGAGCCTCAAACATAGCAGAATCTCTAATTAGAATCACACATCCAGGGAGTCAATACTATCAATACTTGGCCTGGATCAAATCAGGACTGAACCAAGATTAAACACTGACAAAACCAGGATACACTTTAAATTAGAGCTTCAGTGTCTGTATATTTTTTTTTCCCATGTATTTGAACAAAATTTGTTTTACTCCAGTGCAGATATACGCAGCTCTTTAGGTCAAAATAGGTTTGCTGTGTACTATCTGCATCTAATTATAAAGTGTGTTATTGTCTGACACTCAAAAGGTGTGTGGTTAAGTGTGAAAAGTGCTTACAAACTCATCATGGTGAATAATTGGGATACTCAGAATGCATAAGGTAAGTGAGGGATAACTTTGGACCACTAGTTCTGTTTTTTATGTTAATCAAGACTAAACTAAGATTTAACCATGACTAAACCAGGTCTGAACCAAGACTAAACCAGTACTACATGTTTTCTACCACCTAAAGTCAATAGGTAAAACTGTACTGTCCCTAATACAAGTTAAAAAAGTATTAGAATGAACCTCCAGCTGCACACACTACAATGGAATTTATTGTATTATTTGATAAGACACAGTGAGTTTAGATCCGTTTGTCACAGTCTCTGAAAACCTTTGTGTGAGAAATCTGTCTTTTATTATAAATTTTATGGACAGAATATGGATAACTTCTGTGTTAAACTAAAAGTAAAAATAGATAAAAGAAACAGGAACTTGAGCTGGATGTGTCTTGGATGTGTGACAGATTTCATGGACACCATATTAAACGAGTGAGCAAATGGTCGGTCTGAGCTGATAAACCTCCTGCTGCTGGTCTTCTGTATTTAAGATGTGAAGTTTAGGTCACAGTCTGTATTTGGACACTGTGTTTTTTTATTTTATGCACATGGAAGTGGGTTTATTCTGCTGGGATTCTTACTTGAATAACTATACTTAAACTTCAAATTTTAAGGCCCTTATTACATTATTTTCTGATCTATGTTATGATGTTTCCTCATCACAAACCAGTGGAGTCCATATTGACGCTAAAATAGGCTGAAGGACGTCTGTCGGAGTCGCCATGTTTGTTTTGGTTTGTTTTGGTGCTTCGCCTTTGGCTTCCACACATATATCAGTGCTGCTCTGTGATTGGTCCACCCACCCAAGTACCCTTACATGAGTCTCTTAAGATGGATTGTAGTGAGTTTGTGAAGTAACAAATATTGCAAGAATTCATCTGAAGTTAGTGATTAATACGAGCATTCCTTTGGTGAGAGTGACTAATACTAGCTAGCTTGATTGTGTCTGTAATATTTTTTGAGACTGACTTGTTTATTTCCAGCTAAATCAGTTGTTTATGGTCAGATTGTGAAAAAGAAAAACTCTTCAAACAGAGCAGTGCCTCCGGTTAGCTTCACACTGCCAGAGAATGTTGATGACATCAGCTGCAAAGTATCCAGGACCTCCAGTTTATTGCTTAGTCCTCACCCAGTCACTCCCATAATGTCAGCGTACTTTGTTACTGTTTCTAGTTTATCCTTTAAATGTTAAAAGTGTCTCTTGTTCTGCCTTAAATGGTCAAATAGACTTAAGTATAAAATCTTCTTTTCCTTCGGTGTTTATTATAATCTGTAGTAAATGTAAACGGTGGGTCTGATGCTGACAGGAATAGCCTCTGGAGAAATAGTGTTATTAAAATAGCAGCGGATGAAGTCATGTGACGTCTGGGCTTCAGTTTCAAAGCGGAGTTCAAATGGGTTTACGGTCTTCACAGCAAATGCACTCAAGAGTCAATCATTTATACCTGTTTTAGACATGAAAAAACTCACACATGTCTAGTCTAGTCTAGACATTAATGAGTTACTGTTACTAAAAGTAGCTTAAAATGTATTCCATGTCCATTAGACCTGACTAAAGAGGGGGCTTATGCAAAATCAGCTTTCTGCCATGTTATAATGTTGTTTTAGATGTCATCCATGCATGTTTGAGTAATTTAGCGATCTCTCCTAGGCCTTATTCAAACCCTCCTTGCCATTAGCTGTGAGATTCTGTGCAAAGCTCCACCCACAAACTACGTCACCCATGTACCCACGCGACAATTCAACAGATATATACAAAACCATGATACAAATAGCAACTAATTGGGGAAAGAAATCCTAGCTTTTACTCTAAGAAACAAGTATCAATATTTCTTTCGATATCTCTTTGTTTTTCCTGCAGCCCGGGAACTATCAGCGCACGGTGCGGCGGACGGAGGACTCGTTTCAGGCGTGCACCGACATGGTGAACTGTTTCCAGGAGCGAGCGCGTGTGGAGAGACAGTACGCCCAGGCCCTCAGCGAGTGGACCCAGAAGTGGAAGCCTGTAGTCGACTCCAGTCAGTATAACACAAACAAAACAAGCATTTTTACAGTGTGATTTTGAGACAGGTGCCCAGCAAATACACATGAATACATATTTTTGATCAATCAATACAGGAACGAGATGATAAACTGTGCCGTACCTGGAGAACTAAAGGGGAGAGTGAGGGGGAAGAAGGGCGGGGTTTGTAGGACTAAAGGGGAGAGTGAGGGGGTAGAGGGGCAGGGTCTGTAGGACTAAAGGGGAGAGTGAGGGGGTAGAGGAGCGGGGTCTGGGGGTATAAGGAACACTGTGATGGTCTAACAGGTATCCACACTTCAAACTTCGCTCCTGCAGCCAGGAGTTTTCAGGTACAGCTGGCTGTGATCAAGGCAGTGTTTTGTGATGTCACATAGTACTTGAAACTACAGTAGCCACTGGAACAAGGACTTTTTAGTTTTTGGCCAGAAAGCTGCAAAGCTTTAGTTTGGACTTTAATGGCCCAAATGGCCAATTATTTCTATGCGCAGAATGCTTCAGTATGTGATGCTGTTTTAATATTTATTATGCTTAAAAATTTGCATTGCAAAAACATTAGGACTGAGACATAAACATCTCTCTCTAAACACAGACCTATTCTCCTCTGAAATATTCATTTTATTTGTGTACTTTTTAACATGTTATCAGCCACATCCATCTGCAGCTCCCTGTTCACAGCATCATCTTTGAATATTTATTCATTTAGCACAACTCAGCAAATACCTCAGAGATAAAACTGGACAGGAAGAAGTAGTGACGCTAACAGTGTGGTTGCCGAGCTCTAGTGTGCACAGAGCCTATTCAAACATCATATACACAGTTTACTGGTGAAATAAAGTTGGTCTTTATTTCCACTGTTATTATGACTTACCGTATTTTCCAGACTATAAGTCACTCCAGAGTATAAGTCGCACCAGCCAAAAAATGCATAATGAAGAAGAAGAAAACATATATAAGTCACACTTTTTGTGGGAAATGTATTTTATAAAATCAGAGACCAGGAACTGATATTTCATCTTGAAAGGCAAGTTATAGTAATAACAATAGAACAGAGAACAACAGGCTGAATAAGCGCTAATATGTTAATGTAACATATTAACAGTAATTAAGATAACTATAACATAAACAACATAACAAGTTTACCAAACTCTCCATCTCACTCCAAATAACTGAATCCACTGAAGTCTTCATCCTTGGTGTCACTTCTACGCATCCTCCGGAGGTAAACTCAGCATCAGTTCCAGTTAGAATTATTCCAGCCTTTCTAAATCCCGACAGGATGGTTTTGGTCACACTGAAGTTCAGGCTTTGTCGATCCATCCAGTGACTTCTAGGAAAGTTGCATGTTGCACCCTGCCGGTTGCCATGAAGCTGTGTTCTCCATCCCCGCTTTCCGCCAGTCCCTCACAAGTTTCTCGCTCACTCCAAACTTTCTTTCTGCTGCTCGATTACTGTTTTCGGCTGAATATTTCACTACTTGCAGCAAGACCGCGGCTCTTTCTGCAGGAGACATGTGTGAAGTGACAGTGGTACAGGAGTAACAGGAGCAGCAGATACTGACACACAAGCCTAGAGTGTCTCGCGGCTGTCAGTGTGAAAATTTGAAAATATAAGTCGCACCGGGGTATAAGTCGCAGGACCACCCAAACCATGAAAAAAGTGTGACTCATAGTCTGAATAATATGGTATTTACTAAACAAATTACAGGTGTTACCATGTAGTTACCATACCCCCCCTGTTCAGGTCCTCTGTACGGCTCTCTGATGAAGGCATGGCAGTGTTTCATGACGTCTGCAGACCGTTTGGCCTCTCTCCACGCCTCCATGTGCCGCGCTCTGGTGTCTGAGGACGGGGACCGCGTGCGCACCTGGCAAAAGGACAACTTCCACAAGAAAGTGTTCGGGGGATTCAAAGAGACGCAGGATATCGAGACCGGCTTCGCACGCGCTCAGAAGCCATGGGCCAAAAAACTCAAAAAGGTCTGTGTGCATATGACAGATTTTCATGTTTTTTTTTTATTTATGATTTGGGTTGGTGGGATAGTGCCTGTGGTGAACAGAACAAATTGGGGAAGAAAAGTGCAAATATACAGAACGTTGAGTGAATGCTGAGTACAATAATGGCAGTTTTTGGCAGTTTAAACTTTCATTCAACAAAACAAAGGTGCTGTCATTTATTTTTATTAGTTTAATCATAACTATTGTGTAATTTAGACAGGTTTTGAGCCTTGTTGACAGGATGGTTATGTCACACCGCCTGTCTGTGTTGAGATGAGTTACATTTAAATTATTCATGGTTTTTGTACCACACCTTCAGATACAATTTCATTTTTCATCATTTTCATCATTTACGCTTCTGCTGCTTTCCTTTCATTTACAGGAACTTGAGATTATAAATTAGTTCGTATGTCCAGACAACTACTCTTACATTCAATCTGTCTTGAGTAGCAGTTCCCCAAATATTTTTTACTCTTAGTTGGATTAATATAGAGTGATTTTGTGAACTATAGGTACTATCTCAGGAGTGTCAAGGCTACTTTCTTTATCTTATGAAACTTTTGGACATCAAACTTTGGGCATCAGATGTTAAATGATGAATGATAAAACCTTTAATGTGTCTTAATGTGCTTCTACAGACCTCACTGCTTTGTGTAATGACATGTCCATAATATTGATGGCTATTTTATGTTTAATTAACTGTCTCACCAAACAGAATCATCAGAGCACTGTGTGTTGTAGGCTACTGATTTTAAAGCTACCATCTCTACATTTATTTTAAATGTTTTTGTCAAACCTGTTCCTGCCTCCCCTCACCTGGCCCCTCCCCTCACCTGTGCTCACTGGTCTTTTTCTATCAGACCAAAGCTGGCGCACTATCACACTGTAGAAAAGTAGACAGCATCTAGTGGTGAAATGTGAGAATACAACAGGAGTGGGTCGGCCAGTCTAATTACAGATGGTAGCTTTAAAGATGAACTGTGTAAGGTTTCTGGTAGGGGGTCCGCCACAAACTTGTTTCCATAGAGATATTACTGCTTTGAATGAAATGCTTCACAGTATGGAATTAAACTCATCCATGCATTAATTTAATTACTGGTGTTTTACTGCACAAAAATACTACGAAAAACATGCATTCCAACTGTGAGTGAGTTCACCTCTCCACAGTTCTGACCTGTAACTTGGCCTGGAGGAATTGCGGGCTTATTGAAATGGATATAGATGACTTTCATGCCATACTGTCAGACAAAGCAATCACATTTCCATGAAGACAAGCTGGTGGCAGACCCTCCACCAGAAAGTCACACAATGCATATTTAAGGTCTGAGTTTAAATGCAACAGAATATAGGAGTTTTTTTGATCGTAGTCACATTTTGTGTCCTAATTACCTATTACTGGTCTTTGTTTTATAGAGTACAAATCAGTTTAAAGGTCCTATATTACAAAAAATTGTACTCTTGTGAGCTTTAAACCTGTTATAATGTTGTTACCTCCTCAAAAACATACCTGGATTTATGTTTTGTTTCATTCACACATGTTTGAGCATTTATTATTAGTCTGTCTACATCTCCAAAGCTCAAAATGTTCCACCTTGTGATGTCATGAAATGGAGGTTCACAGGTTAACAGCTACCTTTGACCTTTAGTTCAGTACAAATGGGCAATTCCAGGACTGAAATCATCCAGATGGAACAGCATGTTTTCTGTTTGAGAGAAGAACTGAGGCTAAATATGCAGGGTTTGTGTGTAAAACATGTGTGAATGAAACAAAACACAACTCCAGGTCTGTTTGTGATCAGGAAACACCATCATAACATGATCAGAAAATAGCATAATATGGGCCGTTTAAAGGCGTGGCAGGCTAACCAGCTTACCATGGGAAAACCGATATCTGTGACAAATTTTAATGCTAAAAACATATTTCATACTAATGTTTGTCTAAACATGTCTCTAGCGTCACTGTTTATAAAGTTTTGTTTTATAAATTAAGTTGTGTCCAATGTTCATTAGTTAGTTGTCGTTGATTAGCCCGGAGCAAGATTTCAAAACCGTAACATAATTATTTTGGAAAGTCTATGGGAAAAACAAATGGGAATGTTATTTTCCGAGAAGTGGGCAGGACTGTCGAGCTTTTGTCAGCATTAAATTAGTTATTAAGAAAGTTATAAAAGTTTAGATTATTTCTTAAAGGGCCCATATTGTGCGCTTTTGCGAGCTGTTATAATGTTTCCTCATCAAAAACAGAACTGGAGTTGTGTTTTGTTTCATTCACACATGTTTAACACACAAACCCTGCAGATTTAGCCTCAGTCCTTCTCTTAAACTGAAAACACTCTGTTCCACCTTGTGATGTCATGCAGCAGTATAGGAAGTGCTCTGCTGTGTTTTTAAACCTCATATACTTTCACTAGAATCATTTGGATAATTTCAGCTCTAGAATTGCTAATCTCTACTGAACAAGAGGTAAAAGTTAGCTTCGTGACATCACAAGGTGGAACAGAGCATTTTGAGCTTTGGAGATGTAGACAGATTAATAAAGGATTTCTCAAACACGTGTGAATGAAACAAAACACAACTCCAGGTCTGTTTTTGAGGAGGTACCAACATTATAACATGACTTAACAGGGGTCAATTTTGTGTAAAGAGACCTAGAAGTCCCACTGAACGTAATGGGACTCTGTTTTGTTGACAGTTGGACAAAGCCAGACAGGCGTTCCATAAGGCGAGCAGGAGAGAGTTCCTGATCCGAGAGAGAGAGGCCCACGCTCAGGGAAACCCCGACGTCAACATCGACAAACAGAAGAAGCTCCAGGAGGATCTGCAGCTCGCCTCACAGGAAGTGGACAAGGTGAGGACTGTGATGTAGGGGGGGTATTCTACATGTATGTCCACTGGTGGAAGGTTTTAAGATTGTCTGAAAACTCAAGAAAAATACAAAGTGGATTTAAAAAACACATTTCAGGAGCCTGTGATCAATATGAGTGTTCATGGTCCTGTTTAGGAGTTTGATGATGTTATTTTAAAGGGACAAATTAGTCTTTTTGGTCAAATGATGTTAAATTAATGCTCATATTAAAGTCGAACAAGTCTCAGACAGAGCTGTGCTTACAGTTAGCATTACAGCTCCTGCAAAGTATAGCACAGTTTAAGCTGAGCAGGAGGACAGATCAGAATTCTACAGTGGAATTCGCTGTCAGATTGCAGATTTGTTGTCTGTACGGTCAGTATTTTTTGTAGTAACTGTACCGGACTTATCCATGTGAAACAAAAGTAGCGCAAAGTTTAATGGAAAAACCCTTAAACCGTAAACCTGCTTCATCAAGTATAAATAGTCCAAGATGAATGGATAGCTGCTGTTGCATTAAAGAGAAAAATGGTGAGGTTTGATTTGCCAGTCTGGAGGAAAACTTAAAAAATCAATGTGTTGTGTTTGACATAAAGTTTATGATGTGAGAAAAATGTTTTGTTTTCTATTATCAGATATTACAACTGAGATTGATGCCAAAAACATGTCAAATTTGTTTAGAAGTTTCAGTGTTTATTATGCTTGTCATTGTGGTCTTAAAGGTGTAATCTTTTTCTATGGAGATGTTATTGCTTTGCATCTAATGTTCCACACTATGGCATTACTTTTATTGCTCAAAAATACCTAAAACTATGCATTCTTACTGTGAGTCAGCACCTGCTCTATGCATTGAATTCATAGTCATTTTGTTTGTGTTAGGTGCGCTCCTCGTTATGAGAAGGTTCTGGAGGAAGTGAACCGCTACGCCCCGAGATACATGGAGGAGATGGAGTCTGTGTTTGACCAATCACAGGACGAGGAGCGGAAGAGGATAATGTTCCTGAAGCAAGCTTTACTGTCCATCCACAACCACCTGGACGTCACTACCAATGAGAGGTGAGTGTGACCCTCCTGGGCTACTGTAGAGCAATTACAATGAAACATAAGGAGGGCAATGAGAAAACACAATATCAACACACTAGTGAAACCGAACGGAAAGCTCAGGTAATTACTCGTCCACACAAAAGATAAAATAAAACCGGAGCATGCCTGTAATAAAACATACATCAGGGAAAAAGGGAGGGCGTTCAGTACACAAAAAAAGGAGCATAGGACGGAATGTGAGAAAGACACAACAACAAAACACAAAGCAGAATAGAAACAACTCAAATCGGCCATTTCTGACCACTGTAAAAGAGAGAACTGACGGAGCAAGCATCACTGGGACAGAGAACAACAAACATTGTCGCTGAATTAAAGAGGCAAATAAAATACGGAAACATGCTCACGGGACTATAAACCAGGATGAGGGGGCTTTTTTACTCTCACACACCTGGGATACTGTCCTGAGGAATTCGGGCTGCAGATGGCGCTGGAGTCCTGCCTCCACCGGTTGGAAGACGGCGCCAAAACCTGTATAAATCAACTAACCGGGCACGTCACAGCAACATCACGTGACCACTCTGAGGAAGACTGTATGAAAACAAACCCGTGGTCTGAAAAAAGAACCTAATAACATAACATAAATATTAGGAATATCTGTGAACATTTACAGAAAGTTGATTTACGGTTGAGATTGTGTTTTACTAGTTTCAATACATTTTGAAACATTTTTTGTATATTCTGTAAATCAGTGCTAAGATATCTTTGAAATATCTTCAAAATGTATTGTAAGAGACAAATAAAATCAAATAAAATAGGAAAACTACAAAAGAATTCATCAACCACCCAAATCAAGATTATTTAAGTTCATGTCAATTTATAAATCATTCTGGTTCAGGCTTCCGACTTGTTGATGTTTTGATAAATAGCCTACTTAAAGATGCACTATGTAACCTTTATTGTGGGGGTTTCTGCCACTTGTGTGTGTATGGAGATGTTGTTTCATTAACTGGAATGTTCCACAGTATGGCAATAAACTTCTACCTTGCATTTACTCAATTAGATGTGTTGTTAAAGCAAGAAAATCCCTTTAAAACCTTTAAAACTTGTCCTGGTGGTGTGACTTGCTTGTTTCCATGGAGATAGATAACTTTAATGTCATACTGTGTAGTATTTCGGGCAAAGCAATAACGTTACATCTCCATGAAGTCGAGCAGCTGTCCGAAAACCAGAAAAAACTACAAAACACATTACGCCTTTAAAAAAAACGTCCACACTGGTATTATAATGGGACAGAAATGAGATCTTCCCCTGATTTGCCTGGTGTTTCATGACCTCATTAAAATGCCCTTTGGAGAGACTGAATGGCCCAATTAAGCACAATTTCACACTCCCCATAAAACAGAAGTGTCCACATTTTTACATCCACATTAGCCTCAGTGCTGTACATCTGTTTAAATGCCAGAGCTGCATATGTTTGAACCACAGACGCGTAAAGACTGGGGCACAGATTCTACTCACAAGTGTCTGTGCACACAGTTTCCATATTCACTGTTCTGGTTTTATGACAGGAGGGTGCAATTATCTGACTTCTGGATATATGTATTTCTCTGACAGATATTTTAGTGTATGTAATGAAACTGAATATAATGTAATGTTTGTTTTTTTTATTATTAATGCATTTTTAATTTCAGGAGACACCCAGTAAGGAGTGGGATATTTTTAGACATACTATTTTTGTTTTTACTATTTTTATTTTTATTTACAAGAGATACCCAGTACAAATAATTGTGGGATATTTTGTCAAGATTTTTAGACATACTATTTTTATTTTTATACTTTTTTTATGTTTATTTACAGGGGACACTCAGGAGAAATAATTGTGGAATATTTAATCAAAATTTTTAGACATGCTATTTTTATGTTTATTATTTTATTTTAGTTTTTTTATTTACAGGAGACACCCAGTAGAAATAATTGTGGGATATATTGTCAAGATTTCTAGACATACTCTTTTTATTATTTTTATTTTTATTTTTATTTACAGGTGCCACTCAGCGGAAGAAATTGTGGGATTTTTTTGTCAAGATTTTTAGACATACTATTTTTATTTTAATTATTATTATTTATTTTATTTACAGGAGACATGCAGTAGAAATGATTGGGAGTGGGAGTTTTAGACATGTCTGTTGATCTTTTTTTAAAGTATTTTTTATTATGTTAAAGATATCATATATAGTTAAAAATATATGTACTGTAGTTTTTGTGCTGAACCTTTTGGAACCAGGAACTATAGCACAAACTACAGTGTCAACATCTTTTATACAGTCAAGCCTGGTTAGTACTGTTGTTGTGTCCTTAGGCTAGACACTTCACCCTCCTTGCACATAGTATGAATATGATCATATAAAACTCTTGGTGTCTTGAAAGGTGCTCTATAAATTAATTGCATTATTATTATGAGTACAACAGAGAATGCATAATGTACCTTAAATATTTTCACAAAAATAAAGGACATTGTGTGATATAAAAGTATTTAAAATGTCCCTTGTGTTTCAGTGTGAGGTCCGTGTACAGTGAGCTCCACAACACTCTGATGTCCATAGACGAACAGGACGATCTGCGCTGGTGGAAGAACACGCACGGCCCCGGGATGCCCACAGACTGGCCCCATTTTCAGGTACTGCTCTGTACCTGAGGGTAAATACGTGGAGATTTATACAGTATACTCTCAATGTAACATGTTGTTTTAGGAATACAACCCAGAGAAGAAGTCCAAGCCTAAAAAAGGGAAGAAGGAAGTGAAAGAAGTGAAGGAGGTGAAGGAGATTAAGCAGGTGGACACAGGAACCATAGAGAAAAGGTGACACTAAATATACTATCTTGTCCAACATTTATACATCAACTCAAGAATACAGTGAATACAATGCAAAGTTCAAACCATGTATCAGTTTTAAGTAATTATGAGCTGAACATTTGACGATGTGTCCACAGTGTGATGATCGGAGGAGTGAAGGTGAGAGCTCTCTACGACTATGTGGGACAGGAGACCGATGAGCTCTCATTCAAAGCAGGTAACACGACACGCATTATACTGCACTTTTGGTTTAGTAAACATATTAAAGCGTATGTAAGAGCATTTGTCCACTGGTCTGAAGGTTGGCAGTTCGAATCCCTCTCTCAGCATGAACATCAGTGGCAGTGGTCAGATCCACTATATATCCCATATATATCCCATGTATCCTTGGGGAAGACACTTAACCCACCTCGCCCAGTGTCTGCATACACTGGTGTGTGTGTCTTCCTTGTTGTAAAGCTCTTGGAGTGCCTTGAAGGTGGAAAAGTGCTATATAAAAATGTGGCCATATCCATCTGTAACTGCATGTAGCCTGCTCTGAATTTACTATAATCACAATTTAACCTGGGTTGCCAATACATAAACCTGCAGGTAGAGGACTATGGAAGATAATTTGTTCCATCAGATTTTGAATTGTAAATGCCACTATGAAAAAATATGTTTGAATTATTTTTGTTCTGAATTTTAGTTACCATATTTTTCGGACTATAAGGCGCCCTTAAAATCCTTAAATTTTCTTAAAAATCATCAGTGCATCTTATAATCCAGTGCGCCTTATGTATTAATTCTGGTTTTGCTTACTGACCTTGAACCAATTTTATGTGGTACACGGCGCTCAAAAATCTGTCGAAATGTTTTAATACGACTTTGGTAAGCTACAAACCTGCACCACTTAATGGCTTGTAAGAGCATTACAGCTGCCACAGAATTAGTCCTGACAGAAGCTGACCGCATCAGCGCACAAGGAGTGAGCTGTTTTTTCAGAGCTTATATGCAAATTAGCCATGTGGTTTTAAGTTTTGTTTCTGTAATACATAAACAAATGTGCGCAAAGCTGCATAAACACATTATTACTCAATGCATATTTGAGTCCTCCTCATAGGAAATAAAAATCCAAACTTTAACCACCCACATTCACATTCATAATACACATAGACCAAGACAGGGAGACAATGCCGGGGGAGTTACGCCACAATCTGCCAATGGATCGTGGACGTCTGGGCGCCTTATGTATGAAAATAGACAAGAGAAATCAACATTATCGATATTGCGCCTTATAATCTCGTGCGCATTATAGTCCAAAAAATATGGTATAATTTTTCAGTATGTTTCAAATTGAAAATAAAAATGTCACCTTTTTAAATATTCAGCATATATTATTTTCAAGCCTTCAGATTCAAACAGTCAAAACTCAGAGTGTAAATTTTGATCATGTGTGAGTGAGGAGGACAGAGGCTGTTTCCTATTTGGCCGTTCTCATCTGTGGCCAGGGTTTAAACTTAAGAAATCAAAAGAGATGAGGTTTTACTGAGGCTAATTCTGACCAATCAGACTGGTTCACTGCACCATTTCCTGCTTGTTGCTCGATAGATCAGATCACTTTGGATCAGTTGCTTCTGCCTTGGCATCTTTGATTTGAAAATTTTTCACTGTGAATTTTACACTCTGAATTTTCACTGTTAATTTCGAAGGCTTGAAAATATTTGTAATGAATGTTTAAAAGGCCTTTTTTTTGTATACTGAATTGTAAACACTTGAAAATCTACAAATAATTCAAACATGTTTTTTCAGAGTTAAATAATTCAAAGAGAGAAATTCAAAATCAGATGGAACAAATTATCTTACATAGAGGACACACAGATTTTTGGTATGTGGACAGGCCTCAAATGAAAGCTCAGAATGTCCAGCTCTAGAGGCTGCACTAGCACTGACTTATGACTGGCTGCAGGAGCTGGGGTTTAGGTAGTGACCATTCAGATCAGAGAGAGACATTTTAAGTTTAAACCAACTAGATTTTAGGATTGAAACTGGCAACATAAATGAACATGTTTACTTTATATCTGAGGACTCAGTTAGGTAATGTTTATGGAAGTTACAATCTAAATCTTATATACAGTTCCCTTAAACGTACACAGTTTCATTTCCTTTCTAGTAAAACGGGACATATTAGATGTTTCACCATATATAAAGTTATGTTTGAACCCATTTTGGCTTTTGCTTTAAAATGTAACAGTAACGTTCAGGTTCCTTGTTTGTGCAGGTGAGGAGTTCTTGAAGATCGAGGACGAGGATGATCAGGGCTGGTGTCGAGGGATGAAGGACGGGAGCTGGGAGGGGCTCTATCCTGCAAACTACGTGGAGGTGGTTTAATTTCAGATTATAATGTACCACTTTAAATATTTGCGATCAGGCATAGCGTTATGACTACAGACCGGGAGAACTATGAAAATGTATTTCTTTATCATCTGGGTTAGACCTGGTTCAGTCCTGGTTTAGATTTAGTTTAGTTCTGGTTTAGTCCTGGGTTAGCACAGCTCTTTGTGTTGTTCATGTTTTTTAAAGGTCAGAATGTGTCAAAGGTGCTTTAGACCTGGTTTAGTTCATTTTAAACCAGGTCCTGGTTTAGTCCTGGTTCAGACCTGGGTTAGACATAGGTTTAGTTAGTCCTGGTTTAGTCATTATGCTGTGCCTGATCACAATATTGTACTTTATTTAAAATGTGGAGTTCACAAACCAAAGCTGCCATATTAGCGAGCTCCAAACATGTGAAAATCTGCAGGCTGATGTTTCTTGAAGGACTTTAAACATTGATGCTTTTTTATGCATAAACCACTTGTATTGAAGCCATATAAATATTTAGCTTTAATGCTGGACTTTACGGTACACATTTGGTGCTGGAATGTCATATAGGAACTTTTAATTACATGTTTTTTTGTTTAGTTTTTTCTCTCTCTCTGTTTTTTTTTTTTTTTTTTTTTTTTACTCTTGGCACCTCAAGGAATTGAACTGCTTAAGAGACTGTGAGGAGAATGCCGCTAGTAGCAGAAGTGTTGCCTAGACTAAAAATATACAATTGTACTAAAAAAGTTAAAGGGCCTATATTACGCTATTTTCTTAATATAATGTTGTTTCTTCATCACAAACAGACCTGGAGATGTGTTTTGTTTCATTCACACATGTTTAACACACAAACCCTGCATATTTAGGCTGAGTTCTTCCATCAAACTGAAAACACTCTGTTCCACCTTGTGATGTTATGTGGCAATACAGGAAGTGCTCCACTCTATATTTAATAAATGTAAAAGGTGGCTGTTAACTTGAAAACTACCACAACATGACATAAGAAGGTGGAACAGAGCATTATGAGCTCTCGAGAGATCAGACGAGGGTCAAACAAAGGGTTACTAAAATGTATGAATAAAACAAAATACAACTCCAGGTATGTTTCACGACTTAAAGTTCACAAGAGTCAATTTTGTGTAATATAGGACCTTTAATTTTTTTGTAAATATACATATACATATATAATATATATATATATATATAAATTTAACTTGACCTTAGGCCCCAAAATCTTTATTCAAAATGTAATATTGAGATATAAAATGCAAATTATCAACACTTTATTATAAAAATGTTATCAGATCACTGTACAGACATTATGAAATCTTAAAATCACTATAAATAATTGATATCTTCTTCTTATCTGTTTACTTATCTTTTACAAAGTGTCTTCACAAATAAATAGCCACTTTGACCTTGTCGTAGTCTTTTCATAACTATTTTCAGTTCATTTTAATATGTTCACTCATCTATGACATGTTTTCAAAAATCTCGTGTTTTTGAAATAAACTTGTATTGCAATAAGTGGTCAGAGTTTTGTTGGGTGAATTTCCAGGTTTAAAACAAGACTGACGCTTTAATGCAACAGTGGTGCAGTCATTAAGTGTTTGCCTTCCAACCAGAGGGTATCCAGTTCAAGTCTGATCCAACGTGCACACTGACCTTGACTATTGCTTTCACTACTATTACTACTACTACCAATTCTGCAACAGCAACTACTACTACTATTACTACCAGAAAAGCAACAGAAACTACTAGTTCTACAACCACTACTACAACTATTACTAGTACTTTGAATTACTTTGTAAACAAATTGTGCTTGTACAAATAAATTTGACTTGCCTTGCCTTACTACTACTAGTACTACAACTACAACAACTATTACTACTACTACTACTACTACTACCAAATGACCATTAGGAACTACTATTTCTACCACTACTTTTATTATGACTTCTTCTACTACTACTACTACAAGCACTTTGAATTACTTTGTATATAAATTGCGCTATACAAAATTTGACTATTACTACAATTATTCCTACTACTAGTAACACTACTATACCAATACTACCACTACTACTACTACTACAACTATTACCAAATGAGCAATAGGAACTACTACTTCTACCACTACATTTACTAATACTTTTATTACTACTACTACTGTTACTACTATTTCCACTACCACTATTACCAACAATACTAACACCACTACTGCTACTACTACTACTACTACTACTACTACTACTACTATCAAGTGAGCAAAAGGAACTACTATTTCTACTACGACTACGACTACTACTACTACTATGACGAGTACTATTATTACTACTAATACTAATTCTGCAACAGCATCCACTACTACTACCACTATACAAATTAGGACTAAACAATAAACTTCAAATTGAACTGCAACTACAAAACATGCCTGTACACCAACAGCTGCTTCTGTATATTTTTGATGTTTATAATCTTTGTATAGTCCAGGATTTCTCCCTCTTCAGTTGCATCTCAGTGGTACAGTCCCATTATTCAACAGCTGAGTGCAGAAGTCCCTGTTCAACTCCGGTGAGACATAGATTTGAGTTGAGCTGAAGCGAATGGTGAATCACAGTTTGTTATGTCCTACAGCTGTCCATGTCAGAGTGGACCTGTCGCACAGCAGAGACAGTGGAACAGGTCACATGACGTCACTTAAGAGCGGACTGGTATAAAATAAGAACCTTCATCCTGTGCCCTTCACTGAACTTACATTATGTATACTTAAAGGGCCTGTATACGATTTTCTTCCATGTTTTTGAATTGTTATGTGTGCATTTTATTCTAAATAAGTAGCAAAAGTATCAAGAGACTGGTATATCTACTGGTATATCTATCTACAAGTAAAAATAAAATACAATGGAAATAAGTAATAAAATATCTCCGCTATATACAAGAGGTCATAAGGAAAACAGTACAAAGATTATATAATGATTGAAAGGACATAGGGTTATCTGTTATATAAGGGTGAGTTGTTGTACAGGTGCATTCATAAGCAACTCTTGAGTTGTTACGTTGTGTTGTTGAGGATGGTTTTGAGCTGTGTGTTATGTTGTGTTGTTGATGACGGTTGTGAGAGGTGTGTTAGGTTGTGTTGTTGAGGATGGTTTTGAGCTGTGTGTTAGGTTGTGTTGTTGAGGATGGTTGTGAGAGGTGTGTTAGGTTGTGTTGTTGAGGATGGTTGTGAGAGGTGTGTTAGGTTGTGTTGTTGAGGATGGTGTTTGAGGTGTGTTAGGTTGTGTTGTTGAGGATGGTTTTGAGCTGTGTGTTATGTTGTGTTGTTGAGGATGGTTGTGAGAGGTGTGTTAGGTTGTGTTGTTGAGGATGGTTGTGAGAGGTGTGTTACGTTGTGTTGTTGATGACGGTTGTGAGAGGTGTGTTAGGTTGTGTTGTTGAGGATGGGTGTGAGAGGTGTGTTAGGTTGTGTTGTTGAGGATGGTTGTGAGAGGTGTGTTACGTTGTGTTGTTGAGGATGGTTTTGAGCTGTGTGTTAGGTTGTGTTGTTGAGGATGGGTGTGAGCGGTGTGTTAGGTTGTGTTGTTGAGGCTGGCTGTGAGCGGTGTGTTACGTTGTGTGTTGAGGATGGTTGTGAGAGGTGTGTTAGGTTGTGTTGTTGGGGATGGGTGTGAGAGGTGTGTTAGGTTGTGTTGTTGGGGCTGGGTGTGAGAGGTGTGTTACGTTGTGTTGTTGAGGATGGGTGTGAGCTGTGTGTTACATTGTGTTGTTGAGGATGGTTTTTGAGGCTGGGTGTGAGCGGTGTGTTACGTTGTGTTGAGGATGTGTGTGAGCGGTGTGTTACGTTGTGTTGAGGATGGGTGTGAGCGGTGTGTTACGTTGTGTTGAGGATGGTTGTGAGCTGTGTGTTACATTGTGTTGTTGAGGATGGTTTTTGAGGCTGGGTGTGAGCGGTGTGTTACGTTGTGTTGAGGATGGGTGTGAGAGGTGTGTTACGTTGTGTTGTTGGGGATGGTTGTGAGAGGTGTGTTACGTTGTGTTGTTGGGGATGGTTTTTGAGGCTGGGTGTGAGTGATGGATCAGGTTGTGCTGCAGCGTAAACTTTGCGCTTGGCTGTGTGTTGTGCTCTGATAGATCTAGTTCAGCTATTAGTGACCAAAATGTCTGTTTCTGGCATTCATTATTCGTTCTATGCACGAAAAGATTTTACAATGCAACAAAATATTTCATTGAGGATGACGTTATTAAAATCTCTATTATGCACAGATAATATAACAGTATATTAGTCAGTCTTTTTATTAGGTTAAACAGGGATTTGATGACGTTTTTAATTTAAGACCCACCCACAATTGGAATCCTGGGTCGTGCCACTCTGGATATAACTGTAATCTAAAACTGTATTTAGCCGCAGTTTGTTTCATTGTCCCCTTTAAACTGTGAACGAGACCGTAAAGGACTGAACACGCTGACTCCTGTCCACTGAATAAATCTGCTCCAACACAAAGGCCACACAGGAATGTGAGTTTCCACTAACACTTCAGCACTACACAGATTGAGAGATGGAGGGAGAGATGGAAAGAGGAGAAGAACAAAGAGAGAGAGGGGGCAGATACAAACAGAGGGAGCAAGAGAGAGAGACAAAGAGAGGAAGAGGGAGAGAGAGAGAGACAGAAGCAGAGGGGAGAGACAAAGAATGAGAGAAAATGAAGGGAGAGAAAGACAGAGATAGAAAAAGGGAAGGAGTGGAAGTGAGGGTGGGAGGAGAGTTAAAGAAAGGTAGAGAGATAGAGGAGGAGAGAGGAGAAGAGAGTGAAACAGAGAGGGACAGAGAGATATGGAAGGAATGCACTCACCTTTATTTACTACTTACTGTTACTGCTTTTTGGACTAGTGTACTGAGAATAAATGTGACTTAAAATACTTGCAATATTTTAGGTGTAATAAATAACTTTTAGTAGAGATTTCACATTTTTAAGAGATTTTTAAAATACTTTTTTATAACAGTAAAATACCACTGCTTATTTGTCCCTTTTCCTCACTTATTGTGCTCCTCAAAGTTCTTTGATGATCCAGAATTCTTACTGTGAATGGGCTCACCTCTCCACAGATCTGATCCGTCACTTTCCTGGTGCAGGGTGTGTTATCTGCTTGTCTCCATGATGTCTTCATTAGTATGGCTAGTTACTGTTCAGATCTGTGGATATGCAACTGTTAAGAACGAGTATTTATGTCGCAATGAAATGTAAAAAATAAGTGAAACTGAACAAATGCAGCAAAGATCAGTTTAATTCCATACTGTGAAACATTCCAGGTAAAGCAAAGGCATCTCCATAGAAAGAAAAGTTACATAACGCACCTTTAACACGACGCTCGTTTTCTTTCAATTCCCTATTCTCCAGCAGAGGGCGCTGTGAGACCACTCCCCCCGCTCTGCACTCGATAAACTTGTAACACTGAGTACCTTTCACACGAGAAAGAAAAAAAATGTAAAAAATAAATAAATAAAACATGTTAACTCCCTGGTCTGTCACGCGCTGACAGGGAGAAGTTGAGGTTGCCATGGAGACGGGGACATAATTAACATGGGCGCGCAACTCGCTTCAGTGACTCATTACATTTGAAGAAGTTAATGGGGAAAACAGAGCGCTCCTGAAGGCGCCGCGGCTCTGTGCGTGCGTGTGCGTGCCTGTACGTGTGTGCGCGTGCGTGTGTGCGTGCTTCTAATGGTGCGTGTGATGGAGAAGGAGGAGACACATTAATGTACCGTATATGACATGTTTTCAGGAGATATGGGAGAAAATGAGGAGACGGATCTAAATGTTTTGACAAATCACGTCATGAAATCACGCTGAACTGAATTCAACCGACTGAAATGTGATTGTAGTTGTGTTAATATTTGAGAATTTAACATGATCATTTCATATAGAGGGCACGTGCTTCAATAATGCACATTGGCTATTTTTGAAAGAGAAAAGCTCTTCAAACAAACATACAGATGGTAAAACATTTTTGTTAATTAATATTATAAAATTAAATGTCCTATGTTACACAGAATTGACTTAGACATACCTGGAGTTGAGTTTTGTTTCATTCAGACATGTTTGAGTAATCCTTTATTATTAGTCTGTCCACATCTCCAAAGCTCAAAATGCTCCGTTCCAACTTGTGATGTCATGAAGTAGTAGTTTTCAAGTTAACAGCTACAGTTTTACCTTTTGTTTAATAGCGATTGGCATTTCCAGGGCTGAAATCATCCAAATGATTTTAATGAAGGTATGTGGAGCACTTTTGCTATTACCTCATGACATCATAAGTTGGAACAGAGTGTTTTCAGCTTGACAGGTTTGTGTATTAAATGTGTATGAAAGAAAAAAACAAAAAACTCCAGGTCTGTTTGTGATGAGGAAACATTCTAACATAGATTTAAAAAATATTGTAATATGAGCTCTTTAACCTTATGCTTTGAATTTCAACTGACAAGAATCATGTTTTTGGTGTTGAATAAGGATTTGTGACAGTTTTGGGTA